CATCAATCATTTTTTCTTCTTTTTTCAATCACATATTTCCCATCATATCACTATTCAAAATCAATTTTTCCCCAAAAATCTCTCCCAAACAAGCTCTTAATCAATTTTTACCAAAAAAAAAGAAATCTGATTTTAATCTCCATCAAACAGTGGCTAAAAAATCTTGAAATTTTTTGCCCTTGTTTAATAAAGATTTTTGAGAAATGATTATTTAAATTTCATTTTTTAACGTGTAATTAAAAAGTAAGAAAAAATAATGAAAAATATAAAAAAATAAGTTAAAATATAAAAAATCATTTTTTAAAAATCTATGATTAAGAGTAAGACCATATTTGGTGAGGATTAAAATTAAATTTTTAGCAAATTTTGATAAAAATTGATGAAACATGTGATTAAAAAGTTGTGAATTTCATGAAATAAAAGATTAAAATAATAAATTAAAGAGTAATGTTATTCATTACAACTAGTGTCAATTACCGGTATACATAACAACTATATGATACAATATAATAGACTCATTTAAATGCAATGTTACATGATTTACGTAATTGAACATATCAAGTGTGATCACGTAAACTGATGTTCTAGCATTTTAAATAATATTATTTTAAATTAAAATTTTGGTTTTAATATCTACATGTAGCTAAGCATNNNNTTAATATCTACATGTAGCTAAGCATGAGAGAATATATTATATATTGTACTTTTCAATATGACAAGATCGTGACAGTGACCAGTGTCACGGCATATGAAACAGCATAGGGCCTGGGACCCTTACTAGATTTTGAAATTGGACCCATCTCTCCTCACGCGTTTTTACAAAGAATTTCACATATTTCACCTTTGAACTCACAGTCACCTCTTTAATCATTTCCAAAAAACCACAAATGTTAGGACTTTTATTTCTTTTCCCCCAATTTTAGCATAACCTTAGGATTCTGTCTAAAAAATGAAGTTGGGAGTCATTTTCTAGTTTGGGCGATTATAAAATAATTTATTTTCGTTTAATAATTTCAAATCTCGCCCATCGTTTCCCTTTACCCCTACGACTGTGAACCACTTTTATAGCGCAAATCTCTTCCCTACTTTTTCATACCACCTTTTCCTTTTCGTTCCGTTTAAAATAAATATTTTTTATGAGTGAAATTTAAATGTATATAAATTACTTATTCTAAAAGTAATTTGTAATGTACCATCAAATAAATAAAAATAACTTGTTCAAATACTTCTATGCTTAGCCAAGCATGCTATATACTTTCATCCTTTGTTTCCTTACTATGGTGGAGTTTTGAACAAGAATAATGTTGTCTAACATCGTTGGTACTACATCAGTTTAAGCGACAGTTAGTTATAAACTCAATGAAATGTAGAACTAGGTGATTCATTTAATTATACCTCTCATTTTATACAACATTAGTATCACCTAAACTAGTGTTTTGAATTCAATGTGCTTAATATCATTACCCTTTTAATTTTTAGAAATAAGTTTTTTAGTAGATTTTGATAAAAGTTGTTAAATGTGTGGTTGAAAAATTGATAAAGTTGTGAAATCCATTAAATATGTGATTAAATTTAACTTAATTTTTTTTCAACTTTTTAGCTAAACCAAACATAGGTTAAAGTCACGAAAATCTCGTTAAATGATTTTCTCGAACTATCATCATAGATAACTAGATAGAGTTAAATTCACCATTTGCCACCTAACTTCATACTTAGAGCTTGTTTAATCCTCATTTTTCCAAAATACACGTAATCCAAAAAAAATTTCCTTTATTTTTAACTACACATTATTCATGAATCTACTATTCTAAAATGCATTATATACCAAATATGGGGCACAAGCAGACTTTTAGTGTCGCATTGATCACTCAATTTGATTTGTTTGACCATGACCATCAAACTTCATAGTTAGTGTAACATTGGTAACAAAATTTGATTTTGTTTCACCATAACTACCTAACTTCATACTTAGTTTCAGTCAAGCTACCCCGATAACTTTATCTAATATAATCAAATTGGGTGACCAATGTGACACTAAGTATGAAGTTGGATGGTCATTGTAAAACAAAATCAAATCTGATGGCAAATATGACAATAGTATAAAGTTGGATGATCATTGATGGATAACCCCAACTAAATATCTTCTTAGAGATAGTGCTATACCCACACCTCATTCTAAGTCATTATTATCAACTTTATTTTATGATTATATTGCATGGTCGTAATTTTTCAACAATTTTAAAGAGATTTAACAATCTTGAGAAAATCAAACAATTGATAGTTTGTCTGCCCAATTGTAGTTAGGTTCAAAAAACTATTGCTATTTTCTATACTAGTTTGATTCTTGTTTTCATTTAACTTGAATGAATTGTACATAATTGAATCAATTATTATCCCTTGTTCTATATCAATTTCATTTTATTTGTTGGCATTCAAAATTCTTGATTGAGTCATGATATACACTCACATGAGAAATATCTACAAGACTATGACATAAGATATTGTTTCACAATGAAGGGACATTAAAAACAAGTGTAGGATTGAGATATATATATTATTATAATCATGTGAATATATATGAATTGAATTTGGCCAACTTATGAATGAATATATTTAACAATTATGTCACTATAAGCCAACTGGTAATTAGTAAATACAGTAGAAATTGCCAAACAAGGTCCAAAAGCTTGTGTTATGTGGGACCCTTTTACTCAAACTGCTTGCCAGTAGGCTAAAAAAAAGAGCACTTGCAAGAATTTTTCCCAAGTACAAAAACCCCTCAGACCCCTCCATGGCCTAATGTACCATTCCCTCTTTCATAATTCTGGAAAAAAAAGCTTTAGCAAGAAGTACATTTACTTGCAGTAGCTAACAATGGCCCGACCACAGCAGCGATATCGAGGTGTTCGACAAAGGCATTGGGGCTCGTGGGTCTCTGAAATTCGCCATCCTTTACTGTAAGTTGATCTTTCTATGACAATGAAAAAGAGTCGATCCTTCATTTTTACTTTACACGGCAAAATGAGCAAATGCATAAGTTTGGACTCTACTGACACCAGGAGATGTCTTAATTTTGTTACAGAAAGACTAGAATTTGGTTAGGCACATTTGAGACAGCAGAAGATGCAGCAAGAGCCTATGATGAAGCAGCTAGATTAATGTGTGGTCCAAGGGCTAGAACTAATTTCCCTTACAATCCCAATTACCCGAATAACTCTTCATCGCAGCTTCTGTCAGCTACATTGACAGCAAAATTGCACAAATGCTACATGGCTTCGCTTCAAATGGCAGCTAAACAATCGATCCAAGAACAACGTGCTCCTCAAATAATTCCTTCGCGAAATGCACCAATCCTGGGCAATGCCAGTGCCATTAAAGTAGAGAATGTTTCTAATTATGAAACCAGTTTTTGGTCAGATGATTATGAGAAGAAACCAATGGTGCCAGTCCAAGGAATCCAGCCACTTGAAGAAGACCATATAGAGCAAATGATTGAAGAACTTCTTGATTATGGGTCAATCGAGTTCTGCTCATCTCATCAGCCAATGTAAACTAGCTACTAGCTTCAACCTAGCTAGCTATGTCCAGTGTCACGGCGCATGTTTGGCTTATTTCGACGGCATCACTCTTAATATGGCCGAAAAAAGCCAATTTTTTGGCTTTGAGTTAAGCCCAGCGTGCTCGTTAGATTAACCCATTTATCTAAAACTTAATGATCTCTAGAAACTCTTCAACTATGCTAGGACTTCACTTGTATTGGATGAAGATTATGTACATTGTACCGTATTATAATTCTTGCTCTTGCCCGAGTTGACGTAGAAATAGTATTTGCTATTTTAGCGTTTTTCTTAGCCCTCATTTGTTCTAGTTAAAAATCAAATTCTTAGTAAATTTCGATAAAAAATGATGAAACATTAGGTCGAAAAATTAATAAAAGTTGTGGGTCCCATAAAATGTGGACTTAGTGTATCTTACTTCTCACTTAATACATCTTCATTGTTGGGAAAATCAAATGTTTCTCTAAAATTATTGATGGAATGAATATTAGTGAACAATAAAATCGTGTTCGTTATACTGTTAATTATATTGTAAAACGTGAAAGGAAGTCTTAAGGGAAACAAATTTTACTCAGAATCTCTGACAATTAAGTTTAAAAACTGAAGAATATATATTAATAGTTAGTTAAAAATGTGTTTCACTGCACATATATCTTCCAGAATTTTATTTCAATTCAAAAAAAAAAGTGTTCGAATGTAGAGAGTAGGTGTATGCATGGTGGTATGAAGAGTGAGAAAATGTACTCTAATTTTCATGCGAAAAGTTGCAAGAAACTGCTTATTTTTTCTGGGATTTGGAGTATGTGTTTGGGAAAAGGAATACTTTCTTTTTTAGAGGCAGTTTTTGCTGTGGGATTGCCGCTGATAAAAGCAAACAAACACTGAATGCATAATATAAAAGATAATGAAATTTTTTTAGGGTAAAATTATGCATAGCTTAAATGTTAAAAAGGATCAATCTTTTAAAATGAAATTTCGAGATTCGAGAAAAAATTCTTTTACTACGGGTCTTGCAGTGGTTTGTGTGTGGACCAGATTGTATAAAATTAATAAATACGAGAAAGACAAAATTGTTTCAAGCATGACATAGTTAGAAGTGGCATTTGTTTTCTTTTGAAGATGTTTCGTACGTTACTCACGAGTAACGTGTGAAGCAGAGATGTTCTCCTATCCACGGTGGAAAGTCTTATAATGCCCACTCGGAGAGAACCCAACGTTTGGTTCTCCTGTCACATTAGCAGGTAGGCAATCTTATTCTGCCCATCGTGAGCAGGAGAACATTTCCAGCGTGTGAAAATAATTAAGAGAAATTGACATGAAAAAACAGAATTGTTGAAATTATAGAAAATTGTGGATTGCAGTCCAAAAACAGGTAGTCCATTTCTAATTATGAGACACAATGATGGGGTGATGAGAAATAATCCTTAAACTTATTTTGCTATTTTAATTCATAATTGGTTAAAATCAGACTCGTTTTAACCTGTTATGGTAAGGTCGGTCACCTGTGACCAATATAAATTTATTATATGTCATTTCAGATTTAACTCTTATCTAGTCCCTACTTGTCTACCACTAACGTATGAAAAATGAATTTTGAAATAGAGAATTTCTGAATAATGTGATGTTAAAAAATTGAAAAAGTTTTGAATTTACGTGCTAAATATTTTACACTTTTCTATTTTTCAATTTCATCCTTTATGTTTGCGCACACGCATGCTACCATAATGTTTTTCAATTGTGTTCATACCGAAATTCTATCTTAAAGGCATGTCATAAGTTGTCTTGGGTACATGTAGCAAATCAAAATCTGGCTAATTTAGTTCGATTCTCGATTTAAACTATACGATCAAAACTCGCAGAATCTACTCAAGAGTTTTGTATTTTACATTTTTCTTCTGACATATAAAAAAGAAACAAATCGGACCGAATCAAACCACAGCCAGTCAATTCTAGCCTAATTCAATTTTACCATTGCATGTGGAACCATTTGTTCAATGTGTAGGATTTCTACTTAATTTTCGAGTTGATTCATTACTCATTGAAAACAAATCAAATTGAACCACATCCAACCTTAACGAGTGTGTGATAGAGCTTTAAATAATAATAATAATATCAAACAAGCACTCAATCATGTTCCCGCTAAACGTACCAAACATGACACCACACACATATTATGTTCCTAGTTTGTTTAGCTTAAAATGATTGATAAAAATTAAAGTTAGGGATCCATAATTTAATCAACTTTTTAACGACACGTTTTATCAATTTTTATCAAAATTTACTGAAAATCGAACTTTCAGTAACATCGGACAAGGGTTACAGTGTAGTAGTTGGACCTAGATGATAGGTATTGAAATGCTTTTAAGGTGAGACTTGGATTAAAAACATAAGCATGCCTTTATCAACACTTTTGTGCGAGATTAAATGATTGACTCACATTATCATATTGATATTTCTAAGGTGAAAGGCATATTGACAATATTGTAAAGAATATTACTACCATGCGTACCATTATTATTGGATTGTAATTGTTTTTTTTCCTAAATGCATGCTCACTTTTAGGTATTTTTGGTGTCCCAACTTCTCCAGTGAAGACTCATGATTGTGCCCTGTTTGGAAATTGATTTTGCCCCCCACAATTGAAAAACTTAAAAGCTATTTATTTTTGTTTTTCACCTTTTCATTCACTAAAGTTGTCCAAATGATGATATTGCCAGTAAGTTTATAATCATTATTTGTTTGAATTTTTGTCCATGAACTTTCACCTGACCAACCAACTTCCTCAATCTCAAGACTACATCAATCACAATAACAACGACCAACTAGCTACAATATCAACCCTTCATCGACTCGATCGAAACACAGAATTAGTGACCTCGGCTCTCCAAATTTTGGGCCGAATTGACCGTCCAGACCTTGAGCCAAATTGATCATATCATGTACAGTGTCTATCAATGATAGTTCATTAATGTTCATTCATTTAGACGATAATCCTCTTTCAACTATGAAAAAGTTGAACAGAAGAAGGCTTTAGTTTCACTTTCCATTCACTTAAATAAGTAAACTTCGCTCTCTAAATCAGCCGACCATTTCTTTTATTGTTGTCATATTCATTCTCACAAGAATGAATATGCACGGAAAAAGTCACCCACTTCTTTTTATTATGTTCTACCAACTCGTCCCATTCCATCTATAGAAAAAAAATGAAGAAGCAACTTAGGAGTTTGGATGTCGATGGAATATAATCAGGTCAAATTAAGACCAAGCTCAAAGGTACAAAGCATGTTGCAATGTCTTTTATGACAAAGGACTCAATTGGGTCAATTAATAATGTCTTGCCTAGCTACAAGCCAACAAGAGAAAGGGACACTCTTGATGGAATTAATGTTGATTTCTTAACAAAATTCATGATAGCCAATTGTGCGAAAGTGATCAGACCTGTCAAAGGATATTTTTAAGTTGTTAGTTTTAGCCCTTGATTGAGACGCATTATTTGGGAAAAATAGATTTCGCAATAGTTATTTTTTGGAAAATGTGCAGTTAAAGAGCAGGAAAAAATTTGAGTTTGCGTGTAAAATTATTTTAATGGAGATTGTGTGATTAAAAATGAATTTGGAGAAATTTTTTTTTAACAAATGGAGCTCAAACAAGGACTTATATTGTTGTAAAACAAGTCTACGGCATCAAGTTTACGCAAAATATAAAAGAGATGAAGATCACAAAATGATACGTAGTTCAATATTTGGCTTATATTTATGGACACAAGAAGATTTCAAAATTGAAAGTGGAGTATGCGAAAAAGTTCAAAGTACTCGATCTCCTGATTTTGAGCACCCAAAAATCTATGCTATGCAAAAATTAAAGAAAATTCAAAATTTCACGAAAAAAGATAACCTCTTTAGACCTATTACTAGAAATAAGATCAAAATAATACAAAAGGGAAATGATCTCTTTTAGGAGCACAAAAGGAGAGGCTAAGGAGCTGTTCTTTTTGTGTTTTAGTTTTATGTTTTGAATTCATTTTGTATTTTGAGTGTTCATTTTGAAATTGTTGAAAATGTGTTTATTTTGACATTTTGAAAAATTATTTTGAAAACACTCAAAATGCGTTTTGAAAATTTTGGTTTGATTATAACTAAAAGCACTCAAAACGACAAATTTGTTGTTTTGAGTTTTCTTTATAAAATTTTAAATTGTTTTCAAAAATGTATTTTCGAAAATAGGAAAGAGAATGCGTTTTCACTGTTTTGAAAAATCGAAAACAGAAAACGATTTGAAAATGGTAAAGAGAACATATCTTAAATAACTCTCACACACAAGAAAAATCCATAACTAACCAAGCTCAAGACGACTAACAAAATTTACGTCTTTAAAAAGTAAATCTTAACTTACTTTCTAAAAAAAGAACTTTTTAAATTATAATTCAACAAGCAGTTGGTGATATTGATTTTTCCTAGGTACATATGAGAGAGAACGAAAGGAAAATGGCTACTATGTAGCTTAATTTCACGGTGACGGTAAGGTTCGTAATTAACGGTCAAAGCCAATGATGATGTGTATGGAATCTCACGAGGAAATGTTGGAGAAGAGACAAGACAAAACGCCTATACCTAATTTATATTTCTTTAATATCATTTTGTTTTAGATTCTTCAAATCAAGTGAGTCACGCTTGCAAAAAAAGCCAAAACTCACGAGAAATCAAGGGTTTTAATGTGTGATTGTTTTTGCTTTATTTTTTTCGTGTAAGATTATTACAAGAAGTTTTACTTTTTAACAACAAAAAAAGTTATAAAAAACTCCATTCTCTATTGTCGATGATAATATTAAATTACGAAATTAACCACATTGTTGATCTATGGTTAAAAGTTAGTTTTTTTTTTAAAAAAAAAAAAGTTTAGACTTATTTTTAGGAAAGAGATTTCACACAATGAGTAGAAAAAGTAATTTTTTTCTAATCATAACTCACAAATAAGTAACTTACTTTTAAGCACAA